TGGCGGTGCTGGTGGATTCAGCTCCGCCTTGCTGGCCCGAGGTATGTCGATCTATCCTACATATAATCAGGTATCACTTCTAACAAGACACAGGCCGCGAGAGCGTCTTCCTCCGTGACCGGGCTGACCTTATCAAAATGCGGCTCCTCGCCGTTCGCTCCAAGCAATGCTCCTCCAAAAAGAACAAATACTACTGTCCGGAGGTCTTCCTCGACGTTGTCGCCGACAAGCTCACCTCCACTGCCGTCCTCTTCCTCAACGTTGAACTCCTCTCCGAATTCTACTACAACTTCCCCCGCGAGCTCGACATGCGTCTAGGCCGCCACCTATCCGACGCCGAAGTCGAGCGATTCGCCCGCGAAGACCCGCGCATCCGGAACCACCTGGACGTCATCAGAAAGAAGGAACTTCTTGAATTAGCCCTCCAGAAGATCGAAAGTATCCGTCAACTCGACGGACGCGAAAGGAAGAACAGGAATTCAGATCGTCCTGTAGGTAACCGGGAACAGAGGAATCGTGGCTGGAACCTGTTCTGAAGGGTGAAAAATAACCAATCATTCAACAATCTACTTATCGACCTAGCGGCCTACCTATTAATCGATTAGACTTTCTCTTCTTCCTTTTCTGTTGTCAACCTCACCTCCCATATTGTCTTCTCTGAAAGCTCGGCGATATCTCTCGGCTCTGCTTTATATCTATACCTCTTGACATGTTATATCACACAGCAAGCGTATACATTATATTATCTCACACTCACTGACACATCCTGTCTCCTCTTAACCTGTATGTCATACATAACAGAACAAATCCTTGTTCATAGTTGAGTACTCCTGTGATAGGATAGCAAGCAAGGTGTAGGATAGGCGTTAGCACGATGATCTCTTCAATTATAAAGACATTCGTTATCCACTCTAAATCGTGTGATGGGTCCAACTAATACTTTGTACAAAATTTAGATAATGAAAAGAGTAGAGAATCGGGTTATATAGCATGATACAGATAAGAAAGGTTTCATTATTTTGACCAACAACCCGCCAAAAGAGCATACAAATACATTTAGATATAAATACCAATACAGGACAGGAAAGTAGAGTGAGTATACATTGAACCAAACCGAGCAAAAACCCATTTTCGTAGTGAAAACGACAAATATATAAGAGAGAATAAAAATAACCAAGTTATTAAAGGATGATTAGGAAGGAGCAGTAAAGGGGGAAAAAAATGTATTGGGAGCAAAAAAAAAATAAAACGAAACAGCACAAAGAAAAGAATTATGGCCAATTCTAGCATGTCTAAACAGTAACCCGAACCCGGTCTATCTATTTCGTACAGGGGGAAAATAAACAAAAGACGAATGAAATGATGATCAAGTCGAAGTGATCTATGTGCGCTTTTTATGGAGTCACCCATTATGGACGCTGCGATAGATCACAGCAGAGCGTCTTGGTGTAGTGTGTGCTCTCTTGATCGTCATTAATATGCTCCTGCGGAGCAATGTGTGACAGACAATGGGGGGGAAAAGGTTCCCATTTAGGTCAAGGAAGAGGATGGTCATTTGAGTGGCGTCAAGGAAGGGGTGTGAGATAAGAATGATGGGAACGAGATGGAATTCAATAATGATAAAAGAGGGGTTATCGCTTCGAAATCATGGACGTAGCATGTCTGCTGATGGTGATACAGAGTTTCCAAAGGTTTTTTAATTGAAGGATTTACTCCCGAGAGACGTCGCGGCCAAACAGCTTGGCCTTGATCCAGTCGACGGCGACCAGGACACGGTTGCGAGCTGTGATTGATGTCAGTTAGACTCATAGGTTGCACATAAAAGTTGAATCAAGGTTACTTACTGCTGAAGCACATGCTCAGGTAAGCACTGCGCCAGAAGAGGTAGGTCATGGTACCACCACTGGCGATGTTGCCGCTCAGCCAGCTGATGTCCGCAACAGCGCGCTCCTTTCCGATGTAAGCCATGCTACCCTGGTGAGAGTACTGGAAGGGACCAATCTGCTTGGTTCTCCGCAGCTGCTTCTGGCGTTCGCGGATCGCGTCAAAGACCTGGTCACGCTCCTCACCCTTAGCCTGGGCCTGAGCATCAGACAGCTGCTTCAACTCCTGCTCGATAGCCTCGGTCTTGGCCATGGTGTTGAAAAGACGGGCAAGGAAAGCACCCTCCTGACTGGCAACCTGAGCGGTAGGGGCGTAGTTGGTGATAGCACAGTCACCCACGGCCCAGACGTTCTCAGCGCCGTTCACGACGAGGTACTCGTTCACAGCAAGACCACGACGCGAGTCCTTCTGGGCAGGGAGCTGGTTCATCAAATCGCGGACAACGGGGCGAACAGCGTTACCGGTAGCCCAGACCAGCAGACCGTAGGGAATACGCTCGATGGACTTGGATCCATCAGGGTTGGTGACCATAGCCTCGATGTACTTGTCGGTGACGTTCTTGACCATAGTCTTAGCGCGAATAGAGATCTTCTCCTCCTTGAAGGTCGATTCGGTGTAGTCGATAAGCTGCTTGGAGAACATGGGAAGGACGTTGGGGAGAGCTTCGACGAGGGTAACCTTGAAGTTCTCCTGGATTTCAGGAACCCACTTCTTCAAGTCATCCTCGAAGAAGTCCTGCAGCTCACCGGCGAACTCAACACCAGTCGGGCCACCACCAACCACAACCATGTGGAGAAGACGCTTGACTTCGTCTTCAGTCTGGTCCTTGAACATAGCAGTCTCAATGCAGTCCATGATGCGCTTGCGGATCTTCTGAGCATCGTCGACCTCCTTCAGGAAGCAGGAGTTCTCCCGGACACCGGGGATACCTAGTTATCGTTAGAGTGCGATCCGTGGCGGGTGTGAGCAATAAGTTACATACCGAAGGTTGCGTTTTCAGCACCGACACCAACGACGAGCATGTCGAAGGGCACCTCGGTGTGGGAGATGTCTCCCTTGATCTCAGAGTCATCGCTGATGTACACGACACGCTTCTCGTAATCGATCTTGGTGGCTTCGGCTTCGTAGAAGTTCACGTGGGCGGTCTTCTGACGGAGGATGTTACGGATCGGCTCCATGATGGAGCGGTGCTCAATCAGACCAGTCGTGCAGGAGGGGAGGAGAGGAGTGAAAAGGAAGTAGTTGCGGGGAGAGATGACGACAACATTGTAGTTCTCAGTGTCGAGCTTCTTCAGTAGGGAAACAGTACCCCATCCGGTACCTGATTTGGGAAATGACTCGTAAGTTGCTGTTCGGCCGCGATCGTGTCACGATAAGCGACACAGGGTGCAAGAAACCTACCCAGGATAACAAGGGTCTTCTTCGTCGGATCAGGCTTGATCTGCTCGGCGGGGTGGCGCAATTCATAGACACTGTAGGCCACAGCACCGGCCGCACCGATAGTGGAGAGCCAGGTCAGACGCCAGGTCCAGCGCAAGAACCTGAAGCGCTTCTTGGGCTTGGGGGTCGGGGCAGCGGGCGCAGCATCGGCGTAGGAGCGACGAGCAGAGCGCTGGAATTGCTGCTGTCTCAAGGGACGTGCGGAACGAAGAATCTGGGGTCGCGTCGAGAGCGACCTGCGCGACAGCGACGACAACTGCATAGCGGCGGAGGGAGAGGCCATCTTGGAGCGGATCGCCAGCGTACTTCCAACCATTGTCGGGCGGTAGTCGCACCTGAGCCAAAAGGCGAAGGGTTAGGGAGGGAGGAGGGGAGAGTGGAGAGTGGGTGGGAAAGAGAAGAGTAAGAGGAAAAGAAGTGATTCAGAGAAATTGAACGCCCAAGTCTGGATAAAGGGTTCGCCCACTGAGAAAATCACCGGCGTTAAGCAAAGCACAGGAAAAAATGACTGTGTCAATTAGCTGTTTTGGGCGAATCGGTGTACTCTGGCTGGGGATCGCAGGGCGGCTAATTTTCTCCTTCTGGCACCAGACGCGACTGGCTCGACCGTAAGCCAAGTGGGTGCTCGGTCAGCCGGGTTCCAGTGGAAAGCAAGAAAAAACTAGTTCAAAGAGTTTTTCATTCCTGCTTGGGTATAGAGACTATTTGCCCATTTATTTCACATGTGGCGGGTTGGAGATGAGGGTCAAAAAAAAAAAAAATAAAATAAAATAAAAAAATAAAAAGAAATTGGAGAGAGGAGAAATAATAGTTGCGTGAGGGGAAAAGATTACTTAGTGGGGAGAAATTAGGCGTGAGGGGAAAACACACTTCCCTTCCTGAGGCATAATCATTCTTGAGGCTTTTATTTTTTAAACATTTACCCTAAGCAGCTGGTAATGTCTAGACATCACTCATCGATTATGAATGACGATTGTATACTGGATTTTTAAAAATGTTTCCGTCATTGTCTCTCTGCTCGGGATAGAATGGATTACCCCTTCTTCTTCCCGATGGAATATTGAATGATCCACTGATTTATTCCCTAACTATTCTCTGTCTATCCCGTATAATTATTTATTCTCCTGCAGCTCCTCCATGCATTCCCGCCCGCTCTTTCCTGATTCTGTCGCTCTTCGTGCTTTCCTTTTTCGGTCTGGACCAACTGTCGCGCTGACTCATCCGTCACCCGTCTAGCTGGAACACACGGTCCTTCCCGAGATCCTCCCCGGCTTCTCCCGCATCTAGAACGACTAGAGAATCCCCAGTGTCGTTTGACATCCACTTCTGTCACTCCACCACTGGCCTCTAAGCTCCAAACCAAAAGAACGAGGAGAATCCGGGGATTCTGATGCTCCACTTTTCCTCAATCGCCCGTTTTCCTCCATTCGAATCCATCCCCAAGTCCGTTAATTCCCGTGGTTGCGGTCGATCATACACGCCTGGGCTGATTGTGGTGCTGCTTAGATGCTATCAGGCCAGATTGCTATGGCCTCGTTGTATGTCTTTGACCCACATACCCACAAGAGCGGTAGCCTCGATCAGGTCGATTCTCGTTGCCGAATTTGCAATAGCTTGCCCTCCCAAGCCAATGCTGCCCATCTTTTAACTCTGCGTGCAATATCGAACGTCGCGGCTTCTATCCCATATGCTCCCATCGGCCGCTTGCACGATATTCGAAACCGACCAATAAGGACTTATGTGGGGTTCCTGGAATCCGCGTTGAACTCAAGGCCCAGCTAGCAGGAAATATGTGGTGCCCACACGCGTCAAGAGGGTACGCCTATAGGAAGATAAACACCTCGATCATAAGGGAGACGGACCGTCATGTTCTCTGGAGGCTTCCCCTACAATACAGACTACTCCAATGCTTGTTGGCCGGAGACACTCGCTGTTGAGATGCTCCCAGTTGAACCACAGGCTGCTATTCGATTTGCGGTTAAAAACTGGCCCAGTCTCAAGCTAACAGTTTGGTAAACAGATAAAGTATTCCCGTTCAGTAAGGGGCACACCAATGGAAGAAGCGACCAGTCCCTTGGCGATCTTCGAAGTAACGACTATCTCAATGCAATGTAACACCAACGATGATCCAGTGGCGACGACTCTCAAAGTCCTGGTCTGCATACAAAGAACGCATAAACAAGGCACGGTATGGTATGGTTATGCACAAACGATTCGAGGCGAATGGTCATCGCACACAACATATACCGGACATACTACCGCTCAAAAATGCTCTGGTGTGCTTGATGTTCGGCACTTCATACCGCAACTCCGAGCATGTAGTACAATTGTCTCACGTACAACATATCTGACTTGTCAGTCGGCGATCCAACTAGGAGCATCTGCAGTTGTATCTGTACAACCACAACCCACCTCGGCGGTTATTGGATACCCATCTTTAGGTCTTCTCCGGACATAATGCCGAACCCTATCCCTGCTGTTTGTCCGATTCCAGTGGCTTACATGCATATGCTGGAGGTCATAGAGGGGAGCTGATGCGAGAAGGTTGTATAATGCAAGGAGCAAGCATGAAGCGCTATGCAGATTGTTTAACTGCGTGTTTGGTTCGACTTTCGTCGTGGAAAATTTGGTCCGGTCTAGTACCTTCCAGCAGCAACCAACCTGCACACAGTAACAATAGCGACCTGTATGGTTGTAAACCACCTTTTATTGCAGAAGTATATATGGAATGCACATATAGGCATCTCCTTGAATTTGTGATACACTGGGTGACCGACAGTAATCATTCCATACCATGATACGCTGGTCTATCAAGGAGACACTCTCAATCCAGATGGCCCATATCCTTCTCAACTCCAACAACTCATTCTTACTACTAGATATATGAATACAAAGGGATTCATTCTATAATAATTACCTATACAGTACTCAATATAACAATAGACTTAACCTGGTTATAAGATAGGGAGAGGGTTTATATTTTCTAGAACATTACTATCATTCCACTTTCGATTAATAGATATTGTCTACCATGGGACCAATACATGTTGATGTCTTTCTACCTACCATTCAAAGTATCAAGTGGTTTCCCTATGAGCATGATACATCAAATGAAACCTCCATCTCTTCATTCTCTGAAGCCTTTCTCCTCCACCATGGAGTTTGTAGAAAATAACTATTTAGATATCTTGATAGTCATGTCTGATTGCCTCGTTATTAAAGCAAACAGTAAGAGATGAAGCTAGAATGTAGTTTTCTGGGATAGGTTATCTAGCATCTTCAGTTAACTTCATTCAGATCAAGACCTACTAATATATATCCATATAATTAGACTTTGAATATATGTTGTACGCAACATTGAAGGCACGGCCTCCCTATAAATGCGAAGCTACGCCGTATACTATACCATCATATACTATATATATAGTCTTCTACGTATCATTCATCATCATACCGGCCGTTCGAAGATTGACCAGCCGACCTTTCGACACAGACACAATATATATCGTGTAGACATACGCTGATATGCCAGGACAGACTACCGCCCTGATGAAATTTCACGGTATGAAATAAAAGGCTATAGAAACTTGGATAGCGCGTTAAAATATTGTAGTAGTTGGGTTCGGTGTATCTGAACTTCAAGGATGATGGTTGTTTATATTTATAGTTGTGACTATTGTACTTCTTTCTCTCAATATGTAGTACTATCAAGGTAGTACTATATGTATATATATAGTGATATCATGATGCTAGTATACATACCACTCCTTATTTCTAAGTTATCTCAAGAGAGTATCTAATTTGGATTGAATAGGACTGTTTATTCTCTTATATAGCCCCGTGCTTCTGCATCATATAAGATTAGGATTTCTAGTGAGTCTTGGAAACCGGAAATAGCACTAGTAACTTTAATATTGAAGTATTGATGGCCCTGTTATAGAATCAGCTAGCGGCTCGGGGTAACGAGTGGGCTTTTTGATACTATATATATATATATATATATATCATCCATATATAAACACTGAAGTCATATCGACCTTGTCAGTAGATAAATATGACTGTTATGTAGTATTAGTAAATTACTATCTATCGTTCATGTGCAAGGGCACGATAGATACCATCTATGAATATAGACAAAGCCTAATAGTATATGTTGATAGTACTACTTAGTAGTACATCTAGCTAATCATATATGCAATTAAATAGACACATCAATGTGGCCCACTTGTACCTGGTAGCTAAGATATGTTATACATTCTTAGTTACCCATTCCGCTGCTGTCTTAATAGAATACCAAGTCCTATCATTATATATAGAGTAGCGAGGGTGCACGCATGAGGGTATCTTACCACCTACTATTTCCTCCCCTATACTTGATATAACCAAACAGACTATACAATTTCATGTTCACTTTGTTCACAACAAGGTACATCTAAACCAGCTATGATAGTCCTATCCTGAACTCGAAGCTGCCCAACTGAGCCCAGCCCTGTCCAGCCCAGCTCAGCATAAACCAAGTAACTGCTACGCATCAACCACCAATAACACAGACTGTCCGTCTATGATATATGAATAATGATAATAGTAAATTCAGAAATATTGAGTTAATAATGAAAACAAGTTTATAAGTAGACACTTACTTACTGCCTATCCATCCATTTCACTACATTGTATGCTACAACCAATAACCAGATGCAACTCATCATCATCCATCGACAGCAAATAAAGAAAATGTGCCCTACGAAAAGCTAGTCAAAGCTACTTAACATACTTGCTTTGCTAACTAGCTAGCCAGCTACCTGGCATCCATACATAGCCTTACTTAGTATACAGTATTTACCGGCTGACACTGCCATCGAATCATATCCATTAGTTAATAGTTATATGTAACTCAGGCATCACCGCTCAACCCATTCCAATATTATTAAATGAGAATGAGCAGTAGGTAACATCAATAAAGAAGTAGTGATGATGATGATGATGATACCATGTGAGGTGGACATGACCAAAAGCCAGACATACATAATCCGTACCTACTCAAAGGCAGACATCAACATACCCACCCACAAGGAGAAAGTGAGAGGGTAACGAGTAAGCACATGTATGTTATCATTGTTATGAACGATGTGGTCTACTGTTGGTCCTGTGAGGCTGGCTGTCTGTCAGGCAGCCGTCTCTTCCAAGTTCCGGCCTTGTTTTTTCGTCGTTGGTTGTTTGCTTTTTCTGCTTTCTGATGGTTCTCTTGTCACGAGGTACTCATCTCTCGAGTTGGCTTTTAGCGCTGAGAAAGTTTCATGTACCTATGTACATATGTTAGTATGGAAATGCCGTGTTGAACTTGGTTAAGACTAAGAGGGCCGTGAGGTCTCACAGACCTGTGTAAGTGAGTATATGCAAACCTGAAAGTGGGTGAGTGAGTGTGTATAGTCCAGACTTCCAAGGTTTAGGGTAAATTAAACACCCATCGTTATCATTTTGAGACCAAGTTAGTCGATGAACAAGTCAACTAACTCTCTGCCCTGCCCTGTTCTACAAGAATGAACTAGGTTGACTGATAATACTGCATACAAAGCAAGTAACGAAATCGCATAGTAATCCGAGCACATGGTCTAGAATTGAACAAGCGTGGAAAGAAAGACCAAGGCACTGACTGGCAAGCGTTCAACAGCCAGCGTGTCCAGGACTAACTACTTTTTGACTCCAAGCCAGCAAGCAGCCAGCTGATAGTTAACAACCGGCTGAGTCCAATTCATCTCTGAGCAGGAATGGGGAAAAGGTTGCCCACAGACGCGGTCAGCATCTCAGAAAGCGACGACGATCGCAGCATCTAATGCACCAGCGAAAGGTGTGATCAATTTAGGTCATTTACTTGATGGATGGTGGTTGGTAACTAATTAATCAATGATTCCTAATGATAAACGTTCGCATGGGGGTCATGGATGGATGCGATGGGTATTGCCGGGTTGGGTAAAGAACACACCCCTCCCTCGAGTAAGTAGAGCAGCCGCAGCAGTCGCGGTGGCATTGACATCGAGTGTGGGTAGAGAAGAGGAGGGGAGGGGGAGAGGGGGGGGGTGGGAGAGGAAGAAACTAGATCATACTGAGACCGGTATATAGTTCCTTCTATTAGTTGGCAGGGGTGAGAGATCGGAGAATACGTACTATCTGTCCATCCTGTTGAACCAGGGGCAAAGAGGTTTTGGTACTTTTACTACGCTACCAACGGGGTTGGTAACAATTGTCGGTGGCCCTTCCCGGCTGGTATTCTTCTTGCGTGAAGCGGAGACTGCTGCCACGGAGAGTAAAAAAAAAAAGTGGATGACTTCGCAGAAGTAACTCTACCTAGACAGAAGTCACGAAAGGACGGATGTTGGTGAACGGTATGCCGTGCTAGGGATGTGTGGTTTGTGGGTGGATGAAGGTCTGATGGTGAGACGAGTTTCGTAAGGGAGGACTAACTCCAACAGAAAAGATCGATACATCATTTCCTTTTTGTTTTGGAGATGTTCGTTCAGCTGGCGTAGTGTAAGTTGGGGGTAAAGAAGGGTGTGTGAGTGTGTGTGTCTCCATGGAGGGTTTCTCAGGTGGTACTGTAGCATACGGTATAGATACTCTTCCCAAGGCAAGGCCGTAAAGTAAGACCCGACAGAAACGAGGCTTACCACTTGAAGTAGCACGGTTATTGGTGAACAAAATTCTACGACCTCGATTTAGTCCGGCGGGGAAGGTTTCAGGCAGTACATACGTAGTCCCCAACTTCCGATACTTCCCCATAATGGTATCCGATCCAGACAATCTTCAGCGAGCATAAGGAGCGAGGCAAGAGTGCGAACAAAACCCGAATGAGAAACCTTGACGGGGCGTTGAACCCTAGCTGAGTTCAGGCTCCAGTGGCTACGACGGATGCATCTGGTGCACATGCCGCCAAAGCATCCGTAAATAATGTTGACTTCGTGATCGTGATGGATCTCGAAAAAAAGACGGCCTCCACCGTGAGAGGCAAACGGTGATATCAAGGTTCTGCTGAGCTAGCCATCTGTCGAATGGTCATCGCTGAGCTTATTGCTAATCATCAACTACGGTCGCGTAGCGGCAAGTCGACCAGCAGACGATAAGCCGCGTGCTTCCTGAGCAGCCTTGGCTTGACCAATCCAGTATGCCGCGCCTCCCCAATTTTTTGAGAAGCTCTACTTGGTAGTATGCTCATCATCATCGTCACCTTCATCACGATTACGAAATCCGGGTTCTGAAGGAATAAGGGTTCTTTGGCAGAACGGCTTGTAAATCAGACCACCGGATGCGTTCCCCTGGTTCCTCAAAAGTTGCAATCTACGAAGTAGTCTATGCCTCGCATCGAAAGTCAGACTGACGATGGCGGCATTCGAACCTTCACGTTGACTTTGGGCCGTGGTCGATGGTGGCTCAACATGAGCAAGGATTGTTGGTCTCGTCTCATACTGAACCGGAGCAACCGCTGCCTGTCCAACAGCGCCTTCAAGGGAGAACGAAGGGATATCGAGTCTCGACTACGACGAGGTCCTTGGTTTTGAAGAGCACGTAGCAGTCATGCCTGTCGGTCGCCAGCAGTAAGCTTGCACACATGCCTGGCTTAGACGAAAGCTTAAGCTGCAGTATCAGCTCGCACGGTGGTTGCGATGTATCATGCTTATCCTCCCCATGAGGATTGTTTGTTTACCCTCCACAATGTTAGCTGTTTAGAAAGTATCGAGCCGCAAGGATGAGTAGATGCAAGGAGCCTGGAAGGGCAGCAAGGTGGGAAGGGACGGGCCCGAAAAATGCTCATCTTCAGCACCGAGCAAATCTCCGAATTATGGACTTGTCCTTGCGTACGCCCTTTTATCCTGACACAGTCCGGTGATGCGATCACTCGTGGACACATTGAAGGTGCAAGGTGATGAAAACTGGGGATGGGAATGACAACCCACGGGCTAGAGCGGCACCATCCAGGCAACTTGCGTGATAAGAAAATCTCCGAGGAGTTTCGTTATCCGACCAGTCCACCTAGTGATAGGCCAGGCCAGTTCATGCAATATATTAGGTCAATTCGAGTCATGAAGGAAGACTGGATTAGTCCCGACCACAGTCGCGGCATAGTTAGTTATCTAACCATCCTTATTAATGAGGGCGCGATGCTGGGTAATCCGGATGTTTCCTGCAATCAATTTGCAAGTCGAGGCCGCGCGGTACAAGGATTAACCATTAGTATTACTGTCAACCCCATTAATAATGTTCGACAATGTCGATCTGTTTCTTTCGTAGACATCCTATTACTATCTTTCGACTTTTCCGACAACACACCGCGAGATGCTAATCAAGGCCCATCTCGCCCAATGATTGTGTGGCCGAGGAGGGGATCCCGGAAAGTTAAGAGACCCCCCCATACACGACGAAGACTCACCACCGGTGGGTTAATGAGGATCACGAACAATGAACCTCGGATGAACAGGGTAAATGTACATCGGATGCATTCTTGCTGGTGTTGTACTAGGCTGCACTCTGTGTAATTAAGTATGACCACTTGGAGCCGTCATCATCCTCGTCATTGATAACCAGATACCTTCTCGATCAGGAAGGCCGATGGGTTTCCAAGGCGGTTCAGGATCGAAGGAATTTGGTTGCGGCCTCTGCACGAATGAACGTGCATAGTCTGTCGGGAAACGGAACCACCGTCCAGGGTACCACAGGAATGACCAGAATAGTTCAAGAGGGAGAGAGAGAGAGAGGGGGGAGAGAGAAAAAAAAAAGGAGGATTACTTCAATCATCATATTGAATAATGATAATGTGATTAATAGGGATGATCTAGATCAGCGGAAGTGGTGGAAGCGGTTAGTTCCACATTCGAACTGGATGATGCTGAGACACCCTGGTTAGGTAGTGACAAAGTCACATCGTCTAGAGCGCCGGGTAAAGGTAGTAAGTACTTGCTGGCAACAGGCGACCAGGAAGGTTCCTTGGCACTTAGTGAATACCAGCAGCAGTAGCTGCTTCTGCTGCTTTAGTGCTGTTCGGATTGCAGAAGCGACATCCGTAGCAAGTACTAGTTATCTGCTCTGGTGTTGTGATGATTAATTCTGGCGGTGACCACCTCGGTTTCTCTACCGCAACCGGACATTGGATGTACACTCGAATATAGCAAGGTAGTAGTAGTATAAGTGGGTGGACATGTGCCATGGCAAGAGAGCCTTTATTCGTTGGCTCATCATCAAGGCACTTTACTTTGACTTGCGACTATACGATGCGTTATGGCTAATACGTAGCACTAATGACCATAGGCCTGAGAGCTTCCTTTTTTCATTTTCTGCGCTCTTCTCGCGTCCCATCGGCAGATGACAGCACCTGTAAAAGTGGATATCATTGGTCCAGATATCTGGTTGAGATGAATGTTCGGCCTAATGACAAGATTAGTTGCAAGAAGGGGCAGGAGATCCATTGAACCCAAAATGGCCAGTCAGGGAGATGGATTTTGTTCGAGACAAGATTCGACAGACGCCAAGGCAAGGACAATCAGCAGAAAAAGAGGAACATAACGGAAAAGTCAAAAATAAAGGGAAAACTAAAAATGAATGTAAAGGAATTCCTGTTCCGAAAAGGAAAAATGCTTAAGCTGGTGGTGGTCGGTGCCTGGAGTGTTGTTCGGAAGACTCAACGACTTCCTAACTCTGGCATATTACTGTTTGGCTTACGAAGGGACTATACTTGAGCAGCAGCTCCATAGTCATCGACTATTTCCGAGCAATGACCAAGAAGTTCAGTGGATACTGTGAACAGTGAACACAGTAGTCTGGAAGTCCAAGTCCACCAGTTTACCCGAGTTATGTCAGATCCTCCAAGGGCAGCGTATAACTAACTATGGGGCTTCATTGAAGGCTGGAGAGTTTTCTTTTACCCAATATGGCCTCACTTCTCAAGTTTCGATCGCCGCGTCAACCACCCCCGTTTGTTCGTTTAGCACAAATAGTTGCCTGTGCCCTTCGCTGCGCCCGAGTGCTCGGGTGACAAAACGACCCAAGGATTCCCACCAGCCCCAGTTTTCGCATCTGGATTCTGGAGGATGCCGGATGGACCTTGAAGGTTTGAGACTGCAAAAGCGAAGGGGGCCGGAGTCATCTTAATTAGTGAGTAAGTTAAGGTCGGGGTTGGTGGACTAATTGAGGATGGGATGGAGAGAGAGGAGAGACAGTATCTTCGTACAAAAGTAGTCTAGTTACTCTTTTTTTGCAGCGTGCGTGCCACTTATTTCCCAGCTCAGAAATAGCCACGACCAATTCCAACACCGTCATCCAGCCCATCATCACCTTTTTCTGCCGGAAGTTCTGGAACACGAAAAACCCACTCTGTTTATTTGTTACACCGTATCGCGCTTGAGTCGTGATGACCCAGAAAGCCAGGCTGCAAAAATAAAGGAACACAGACCAAGAGCATGTACACTCCGGCGCTCTGATTCGATGGTTCACCCATCTTTCCCCCCCCCCCTCCCTTCTTCCCTTCCATCTCAAATGAATAGCCCGCGATTATCCAGACTTCTAACTAGTGACTGTGATACCAATTGGAATGCAGAGCGGCATACTTTCATATGCAAGTGCAGAGAGGCGTCCATGCATTTGTTGAGGTTTCCTATGGAGCTATCACTACCTACGGTGCTTTCTTATGGCGACGCGGACTTGACCGACTATTTTCGGTAAAGAAGGTTGAAGAAGGAACCTAGAAAACCCACCCCGAAAAGGCAGTAAAAATGCAACAAGCGCCAAAGGGAAAAGATCAGGGGTGCTACTATGTACACAACATGCTACTACTAAAGTGACTACTTACTATTTGGGATTTTTCCGAATCTCCATACGAGACCCAAACAGCACCCTATTGTAGATACTACTCCACATACACCGCGACCAGACGTTATCAGTCTTTCACTCTTTCATTATCGGCATCGAGTGGCGTGCAGTTTCCAGTTCCTTTTTTTCCCTTTTTCTTTCCAAATCTTCGCCAACTTTCACCTGCATTGGTTTGAGTCGTCATCAAGTTCTCATCCAACCTATGGAGCATCATCTGATTCCGCCCGCAAATTCATCTGCGGTCGATCCCCAGTTGGCATTGTCGTGGTGGATTTACTCCGTAGACATGATGGTGAAATGATGTGACTGGGGACAACTAACCTCTCTGCTTGCAGGTATCAATGGGAAATACGAATCAACCAAACTGTGCATCAGCTCCCGATCGGTAGCAGATGGAGCGCTGTCAAAAGTCTCGCTCATCATTATATTATTGAAGTATGGAACGCAGTCGATATGATTCGGTAGAATTATAGCCACAAGTATGGACGAGCTCCGCAACATTGCCAATCAATTCATAATCCCAGGCGGATTTCGCCCGACGAAGCACTATCATTGCCCGGGCCTTCTGATAACATTGTGGTGCCAACCATTAATTACGCACGAATCCTTCCTTTGCAAGGCATATAACAAGCCCCTCTGCAGGGTACCTATGGATAGTAACCGCTGGCCACCGTATTGTCAAGAAAGTCTGGTACACAGTAGTACTCTGGGACTGATGATCAGATCAAAGTCCGTCCAAGACACCACCAACCAACCTTAGATTTTCTCCAATCTAGACAGGAATTCACGTCCCATTAATTCCAACAAAAAGGAAATGCCGCGCCTGTTGCCATTTCCCTTTTTGTCACGTTTCCTGGGATGAGATTGTCATACTGCTCGGGACACGTTCATTTCTTATTCCCTCTCAATCTCGGCGGATGGAGATTGGAGAGGCCTGGTTTCTGCTCGTTTCCTTTCCAGTCCCAGTCTTTCCAAGGGGCGGCGGGGGTTGATCATTAGCCGCACTTGGATGGCCAAGCGAATGAGAGAGGCCTTTGGAGCCTGCTGGACTGGATGCGCATCCATCAATCAACTCAGTTGATCTGCTCCTGTGGCCTTGCACTCTCTCAACGCCATGCTTGAACTATCAGATTTGGATTTGGATTACTCTTCCCCCCTCCCCTGAACTTTAGTAGTACGTGCATGGGGTTGTGTGGATAATGGAGAAAGGGTAAAAGGAAAAAAAGGACACTACTACGGCAGTCTAGGGACAGGGAGGGAAGTCCTCCGACGGTGCAGCACCTGCTAAGGAACTAACTACAGTCACTACTTCACACAGGGAGAGGTAACGATCGTTACACTAGCGACAAACGATATGGATAGTCATTCCCCAACCTGTTCGGGTTCGAGGTAAAGAATAGGAAAGCCTCCGTGATTTGACTCTTCGATAATCGTCGCGCACAAGGCTACTAGCTAGCTAAAGTTCGAGGGCCATCGGTCGACAATCAGACCCCGAAGTCAGCTCGCCGCCCCGAACGCAGAAACGAGACGCGTCCGGAAGTGGCCCAAGATGAGACACAGATTAATACTCAGCCGCCAACTATTACTGATCATCGGGCGGTACGAGGTATATGAAATCATAATCAATGTCAATAATACTACTAATTATACTCGAAGCGCGTGCCGGGCAGGAATCATTCGAAGCAATGGCGCGTTTCCGCGACCCATGGCCAGCGCCAACAAGTCGGACGAAGGAAGAGAGGGCTCTTGTCCTGGTCGCCACTAGTAGTTCCATAATCACCCCATGATGGTCCCAACCATAATACTGCTAGCACTTCTCCATGTCGGACTCCATCCTGTCTTCGCCCCGAGCATCCCACTCTGGTTTCTGCATACTTCGTACCATTTGCGGAACATAATATTGATTGACGCAACTTGCAAGAATTCACTAAAGAGTGTGATCGGAAGTGCGACCAGGGACTTTTCTCCTTCTTCATTCTTCCCCTTGTTTGCATCGATCCATGGTATGGCAAGTCTTCATCAGTGAGTAAAAGTAACTAGTTTGGCACTACTCGGCAGTGGTAGTGTAAATTTTTTTTGTTTTCAATTACTTCATTCTGCTCTCCTGACCTGGAGACCACCAAAGGAGGGACTTAGCGTCCTTCACCCAATGCTAGGGGACCCTGGAGTGGTAAGATGGATGGTGTGAATGTTGTCTTGGATCAAGCGACGCACCCCCCTCCATTGTTAGTTTCAGGACTACTGCCGCGGATATCTGCGCAAATGTGGGTGATATCAAACCATGGATGATAGGGTTCCTCCTTTCGGCAAAAGTCAATGACAATAATAAAGGACGTACACGAGCAGCTGACAGGATGTACAGAAAAGAAAAGAAAGCCAAATCAACAGCCGCCTGCGCCTGCATGGGTCCTTGGCCAAGTGGGTGGGTTCTCCTTTTTTTTTAACACTTTTGTATTTTGGTTTTATTTTATTTTATTTTATTTTTTTTTTTTTTTTTGCCGGGAATGACCAGCAAGCGGCGCCCTATCATCTCGAAACCGAGTCATCGCAGTGGCTGCAAACCGGTGGCGGAAACAACGAATGGGCCAGATCGGATTTCATTGCTGGAGACTTAAGTTACTAGGTACGGTAAAAGGGAGCCTGGAGTACTTTTCTGGGCTCGTAGAAGGACACAGAAACGGTGCGCCCAATTTCATGGTTCGGTCCATACACGGAACATTACGGCCGGGCGGAGTATGACGGCAGAGAAGGGGGTTAGAGGAACCTGGAAAAGGCGCAGGCGAGAGTTGGTGGTGCACTCTCGCGGATTGGATGGGTGGTGTCTGCATGTGGATATTTACTACAACCTTCTGGTAAAAAGTGGTCATGACTCTCACTCGAATACTACCACCACCACTACGACGACGGACTACTCACCTCATCCCATCGCCCGGGCGGCGGTGGATAAGGTATGGTATGTTACTATGTGGCACTGTCCGCAGCAAGTGAGTCGCAGGAGACTTCGGGTTGGCCCCGCGGTCATCCACCATTACCTATTCATTATTCCATTACAACTATCGCATATGCCCGCTAGTACTAACTGGAAAGGATCTTTGGGAAAAGAGAACAGGCCCGGCAGTCAACAAGTCAAGTCACAAGGGGGGCGCGTCGTCTTGCTTCTGGTGGTGCCGAGCCCAACTTAGTGGTACCTAGCGAGTGGCTCTCTTCTCAGTCTCAGCTGTCCTCCGGCGCTCTGCCTAAGGTACGGGGGTGTGTGTGGGTGGGTGGCTTCTTGAGCACCTTGTTCTCCAGTTCTCCAGGCTCAACCCATTCAGAGTGGAAAGGCTCAGGCCCACAGCGATTGGCTGTGTGTTTACAGATCGATGGAGCCCGGCCATTTGCTTCTCCTCCGATGATTGGTCACTCAGTTCATTACGCCTCTCTGGATCGTTGTGTGCAGCTTATCCATCCAATTCTCGTACTCACACATGCCTTACATGCCTACATGATGGATACGCAACATTTTGCCTTGGCCTCCTCATTACACAGCGAGTGGATAAACGGCCAGACTAACATATTGTCCTATGCTAAAGTTTTCCCAAAATTGTTCAAAGTGGACCGGATAGTTAGTGGTGATGACGGGCGTGTGTGATGCGTGTGTGTGTGTGCCCACGACGGAGAAACACTATATCAGTAATACCGATACGTTGGAGCAACTATTACCTGTCTGGGTCGGAGGGGTTAATCCACTTCGAGTTTAGTTGCAACCAGACTGCCCAACCACTCAGTCTGTTCTCATACCTATTCGGACCCGTTCCATACTTGACACGGGCGAGGGAAGTAAAGTGAGTGAGTGAGACTGGTGCGAGTGTTGTTTTGTAAGGAAGTACGTACTACGTACGTCTGGCACATAACTTACTTCATTTTGCCCATGACAACCCGAGCCACCCACAGCTGAACCCGGTACCAGACTTCCTTTGCAGAGTAACTATCCTTGCCATCACTACCTCACTAGGTTAGCACGGCCTTGCCGGCAACTAAACGTTTGACTTTCTCTGCGTTTTGCCTGGCGCCTTACTAAGTAAGTGACTGACCACCTCGCGCGGATGCTCCAGTCTCCAATCTAAGCAAGCCTCGCCGTAGTGACCACCAACCTCCAGTACCAACCACGGTCTTAACTAGAACTGTTTTAGCCACCGTGACCCTCTTACGGCTGCCCGTACGCAGCGATCCATAATTCCATGCTCCCCGCCTGCCTCTCTCCTCTTTGCTCTGCCCTCCCCTCCCTTTTCCTGCCTGTGCCCAGCTCAAGTTGCTGCGCACTTTAATGAGGTGAAGGGGGCACGCTAACGCTTTTCGGGAAGGATGCCGTATGAATTGTTTGATTATTACGCAGCAACCAGAAGGCAGTGTTCGATTCCGTACCGAAAGTATTCATTCCTTTGCCTTCCGCCTGGTTGAACTAGAACTGGCGATCAACCACATTCAGAGTGCACAAACCTCCCTTCGTCCACTCTCTCTCCCGTGCCTCCCGGGGGCTGCTGAGCAATGCCCACCCCTTCTCCCTTGGTGTAAGATATCTTTACCTTTTTCCGTTCCTAATTCTTCCTTCCTATTTCATTTCAGCATCATCATTATTTTTTTTTTTTCTCTTCGGGGGTGGGTTTCTTATTTTGTGTTTGGTTTATTCGATGTTCCATGAGAAATACATTTTCACTTCTGCCTATTTATTTATTCTATCTCTTTTACGATCGGTGCTTTTTGCTATAGTAGTAGTTGTAAGGATCTCTTCTTGTGGCTTTTAGGATGATTACTGCATCTTGATCCGTTTTAGTTAGAATAGAAAGACCAACTGCAACGGGAGACGCATAAGTAAACACTAAGTATGCTCAGGTGTGAGTAGCTAATCAGGGTGAGGAAAGTGGAAATAAAAAGCAAAAATAGGAAAAGGAAAGGAAAAAAAAAAGAAAAATAAACCAAAAGCAAGACCAATCTGGGCGGCACACCACGACGGTTGCAATGCGACGCTAAACCCGACTTATTATTGGATCTGATATGGGTCCTACGGAGTTAGCAGGCACGTATTATTCCAAGACCGCGCGAGGTGCTGTCCGAACTTCCACCCCTCTTCCTTTTTGCTCCCCCCTCTCTTAGTACTCTCTCTAGTACTCTCCCAAAGGCGAAAAAAAAAAAAAGGCCCCCCCTCTCTCCCTCCCTGGACCAGTAAAATGACCTATAGACACTAGAACCTAACGCTGGATCTGGACTAGGGCTGCTGACCTTGTTACCCTTCCACTACTCCGTAGCATGCATCCACTTTGTTCTCCCCCCCCTCCCCGTGGCTCTGACATCAACCGGTATTTCATTCTCTTCAAGACAAAGCAGAGACAATCAAACCCGGGCAGCCAAACCGGAACCGACCCAAACGAGGCCAGAAAGGAGGATCAACCCTCTGGACCTGCGTCCGGGTCAAACTCTGTCTATCCTGTATGGGCACAGCACTTTCTCCGGACGAGAACTAGCCTACCCTGGCTCCTCTAGCGGAGTTGCTCTGAAGATGATTAGCCATTTGCTGGATGGAGGATGATGTCTTGACTTCATCCTTCATTATTAGTACCTTTCTTTTACTTTTTATTTTATTTCATTTTTTATTAATTTCCTGATTTTTATTTTCATTTTCATTATTCGGCCTTATTCAATTGATTCCGTCTCCTCTATGGCCTCTCTATCCATCCAAGGTCTTTTTTCTATTTATTTCATTTCCATCTTCAACTTTTTCTTTTTTTCTTTTTTGATTTCCTTTTTGGTTCTAAATTAACTCTCTTGACTTTCCTTTATGATCGTCTCAATTGCCCTTTGAATTACCTGAGATATATTACCTTTTTATAACTGGTTGTACTTGCAACCTAAGTTATTGCAATCTATACCCAGAACCTCATCTTCCATTCTTCTGTCACTACTACTTACTTTCTATAACTACTACGACCCTTCCTATACTTCGTTGACATTTAATATACCTACTATGTGATAATCCTTTCCCATCCTATTTTCTTGGTCCCTGCTTCCATTATTCCCACCCCCTTAAGTGCCTTCATTCCATCTGGGAAAGCAGCATTCACCGGATCCGCTACTGTTGCTATCCTACCAACTCCTCCCCCGCAGCCAGGCTGATATATCCTTGGAACCTCAATTCTTTTGTCGGCGATTTCCTCGTTTGACCTCGTGTGTGTTGCTTCCATCGTCTCGACTTGTCGCAACAAACCGCCGCATACCACGCCCGAAAATTGAAGATCTGGGAAGTTCCCGGTGTTTAATAACACCCGACTCAAAGAATAACACCAACTTGGTCAAGAGCTAGTCCAATGCGAGCTCTCTGACAAGGGTGTTACCTTTACATCTCCATCCTCGATCCAACTGCTTCAATCCTGACGCCATCCTTAAATACCACCCATATGTCTCTCCCGATCCTCTCAACGAAGCCGTATCTCCCCGCCCTCCACCCGATCACTCCTACTATAGCTCCTTCCTCGCGGACTGAAGGCTCGCTCAGCGCAAGGAAACCACCTCTTGAGGCTATTTCAGAAGTTTCCGATTACACCTGGACTGCTCCCTTCAGGGACGGTCTACCTACCCCTCCGAACGATATGAATAGCGTCACCGCTTGCAGCGCTCTGCCAACGTCTTCCTATGGCGGCAAGCTCGATGGATATCAGCTTCCACCCTATTCCAAGGTGTCTGATTATACGCGCATGTCTTCTGATGTATCGAACGGAGCGGTCTCTTCGTCCCAGCCGAAATACCAAGCGCCGACCAAGGATACCATGACCTCCGAACGAGAGTCTCAGAAGAAAAGCAGCTCCAATGGTGTTGCGTCGTATCTCCAGATTCCTTCGTCTATCAGCAACAGCAAAGGCAGCCTGGCTGAATTTGCAGCACAGGTAAGCTGGGTTCTTCTACCATCCTGGATCTAAGATACTGACTGGGCAGTAGATGACGTGCCTTTTCTGGTTCGAAAGTACCGCGAAACTGAAGGCCGTGGAGGACCGCCTCGGCCCGACCACATCGCTTGCACCAGAAGCAGTTCCCGCTGTTGCGTTCCAAAAGTGGGTGACAAACATCCTGTCAACTACGCAGGTCAGCCAGAATGTCATCTTATTGGCACTGCTCTTCGTCTACCGGTTGAAGAAGTTCAACCCGGGTGTGCGGGGAAAGAAAGGCAGTGAGTATCGGCTGATGACCATTGCCCTCATGCTGGGCAACAAATGTATGTCACTCCCTCGTGAAATGGTTATGGACAGAGAACTGACAGAGTCTAGTCCTCGACGATAACACATACACCAACAAGACATGGGCAGAGGTCTCGGGGATCACAGTCCAAGAGATCCACATCATGGAGGTGGAGTTCCTCAGCAACATTCGCTACAACCTGTTCGTGTCCAAAGAGGAATGGAATGAGTGGCACGTCAAACTCGGGCTTTTCACGGACTACTTCAACAAGGCACCTCGAGCCTCCGAAAAGAACGAGAAATACCCTACTCCGCCAGTCCTCAATGTGTCGCCCACTTTGGGGCCATCTCCTCGGGCACAGTTGCCGTCACCTTCGACAAAGTTGCCATCGCCTCCCGCATCCGATCCTCTCCGCTCGCAGCCCTGGGCTATGCCTATGAATGCCGTGCCATACACTGGCGCACCTCAGCTCCCGAGCGACTTGCCACCGGCCACCAGCTCTCGGAAGCGGTCCCGTGAGGAGCCACTGGAGGAGCCACCAGCGAAGAGGACAGCCATGCCAAACAACATGCTCACCTCAATGCCGTCACTTCCACCATCATCAGCTCTCACGAGCATCCCGGCCTTGCCTCCGGTTCTCACGTCCTCCGGTGTTCCCCCTCACCTTCCGGCCATGTCCGAACCGATCTCGCGACTCCCCCGTCCGAACTTCCCATCTCACAGCCTTCCCCCTACCATGCCGGCGTTGTCTCAACTTAACCCCTCCGGTCGAGTCATGCCCCCGGTCTACAACCCTTCTGCGACCTGGGTTCCGCAGATGCCACCTGCGACGTCGGTTCCTACTACTGCCGTTGGACCTGTGGCCAACGGAATGTACAACACATCCATCTCACTGCCCGACCCTAGCAGACACCACAACAGCCCGTTTGCAATGACATCGGGCACAATCTCGCCCGCAGTTTCTGCATACTCCGTTCACACTCCTCAAAACCACCTCTCTCCTACCTTCTTCCTGGCAAACCGAAACTCGCCTTACCGACCGGTTCGCAGTGTCAATACGTTGTTGATCCCGCCTCCGTCG